GGGTGTGTCGATGACGAGTCCGCCTCTCATTCGATGTCACGTCAGACAGTCAGACGTGGCGTCGAATGAGAGGCGGACACGTCATCGACACACCCGCCCATTGAATCATCGCGAACGGTGCCTTTAAGGCAGAACACCAGAATAACCTTGTCTTGGCTAGTGAAAATGACTCTTCTGAGTGCGCTCTAAGCTAAAGCAGTACCCACGAACTGGGCCAAAGTCTCACGCAAAGAAACAGGAATAAGTTGTTCTAAGACTTGAGACTCTAGTCTTTCAATTCTTTAGTTCGTATTCAACCTTGTTCCTGAAATGTTTCCTGTCCTTCAAAGTCCTCAAATTGCTCTTCATTTCTTCATATTACTGAGAACAAGAAGTAGTGCTCTCACTTGCTAGGAATTGTTACATTGGCTCTTAATGCGTTGCATTCTACATTTTACGGCGTGGTCTCATTACCTCTCGATAGTATCGCACGTCCCTCTAAATTGGATAGGTTCGCTCATGGTGCTTCGGTGGCCGAGAAGCGTTACTGGGTGTTACGAAAAAACATCTTGTTCCATTTTTCATCAGTGGAAGGGAGATAACTATGCTGACCATTTCCTCCACCGCCATGCAGCTGCAATACAGTTTTTGTGCTTGCCTTTTATAGGCACTACCTTATTGGGACAAGAAGCGTCATTCGCCAGCTGTACTACGCGCGGGGGAAAAAGTCTGAAATCCGATTGAACTGATTGCGAAAAGCCTTGTACAGCACATTTCGAAATAGAACAAGATTTCCAATCAAGTAGTTATGTTTCAGAATCTGACGACTCCTTTCTGGTTGGACAAGTCGCTCAGCTACGGAAGGACGTCGCGGATGCATTGGTGGATGTGAAAAAAGTGGACAAAATGATGGCATCATCGCGTGGAAAAGTTGAGCAAACAGAAGTCGGACTTCAACGATGGAAGATCATTAACGGTTCATATTTTCAATTTTTTTTTCTCGTTACATTCTTGTCCTCCTCAATTAGCTCTGCTTACTTCGACCAGCCCAAACGGCCAAATACAGAACCACTTCTGCTCAGTATTTTTGCTGAAACGAAAGTAATGCAGCCAGTTCTGCTGAGTCAAATCTCTAGTGTGCCTCCCACGAACCTGGAGAAGTGCCTGAGCTTCTGACGGTGCCTGAGCATGTTTCCAATGAAGTTCAACGGGGAGTTCGATACCAGTAAAATGCCAGGCGCTCTACCCCATTAGAGTGATGGAAGTTTCCATGTTCGGTGTTCTTGAAACCTGGGCATGTCACATAATGTTTTTTTACACTGTTTTGCCGTACAGGTTTGTTATGATGA